AAAAAAAAAAAAAATCAGCAGACTCTGTTCTTGGGAGAACCTGGAGGGTGATGAGAAACTGAGCCCCTGCCCTGAAAGAGCACAGCGAACAGCCAGTGGAGATATACCACAGAAGCAGCAGTTTGAAAAAGGCAGGGGCATAAAGGAAGGAGAGTGGTTTACTATCTCAGAGTGTGTCCCAGAGGGACAAGGTCATGGGAGACTCCTCCAGGAACAGAGGAGCTGGCAGGCACCACTTCCCAACCCTGCCCCTCAGCAGAAAGGCAGCCACCCACGGGAACCAACCAGCATTCACGACCTCACGGCTTCCATGCCTCCCCACTGCAGCCAGGCCTGCCTCAGTCACAGGGCTGCAGGTCCCCTCCCACAGAGGACCAGGGCACCCCTGGCCAAAACCATGTCTCTCCCAAAACACACATTCTGCAGGGCCTTGGTCCCGGTGGTGGTGGCAGCCGGTCACCTCCAGCTGAGGAAACACACACACACACACACACATCTCTTGTTAAAACGGCATGCCATAAGCACAAGCACTTTGCAGATCGCCCCACCGGACTCCAGTCTCCCTGGTGGCAGTGCTTCTCCTCTGGCAGAGGACCAGCGCCACCTTGTAAAAACTGCACACTGCCCACTATGCTCAAGAGCAGGGGAAATGGCTGACTTTCCTGATGCACAGAAACAGATGCTGAGAGCCAGACAAATGAGGGGACAGGGGAATAAGGTCCAAATGGAAACACAGGACAAAACCAGAGCAAGAGACCTAAGCACAACAGAGATAAGTCATATGCCTGATAGAGAATTTAAAGTGATGGTCATAAAGATACTCAATTGGACTCGAGAAAAAGAGCAGAGGACCCGTAAAGAGATAAAACAGAACCAATGAGAGATGAAGAACACAGTAACTGAAATTAAAGATACACCGGACAGAACAAATTGCAGACTGCAGGAAGCAGAACGAATCAGCGACCCGGACGACAGAACAATGGAAATTAATCAAGCTGAGCAGGTGACAGAAAAAAAATTATGCGAAATAACAAGACTTGCATAATAACATTAGCATTATATGGATTCCAGAGAAAAGATGGTAGAAAATTTATGTGAAGAAACAACAGCTGAAAACTTCCCTAATCCGGGCAACTTAACAGACATCCAGATTCAGGAAGCAAAGACAGTCCAACGCCCCACAAAAAAATCAACCCAGTGAGGTCTATGTCAAGACACATCATAATTAAAATGTCAAAAAGCAGTGATAAAGAGAATTATAAAAGCAGAAAAAGAAGAAAGTTATGTAAAAGGGAAACCCAAGGAGGCTATTAGTGGGTTTTTTAACAGAAACACTGCAGGCCTGAAGGTGTGGCATGACATATCAAAGTGCTGAATGGGAAAAATCTGCAGCCAAGAACACTGTATCCAGAAGGCTGTCATTCAGAAGAGAAGGCGAGATGAAGAGCTTCACAGACAAACAAAAGTTAAAGAAGTTCATGACCAGTAAAAAAGCCCTAGAAGAAATGTTAATGGGGACTCTAAGTGGAAAGGGAAGACCAATAGTAAGAGTAAAAAAAAGGAGGACACACAAAAGCAATAAAAATAAGTGTAGCTGTAAAAATCAATCAAGGGTCTCCCAACATAAAAGGATGTAAAGTATGACACTATAACCTAAAACATGCGCAGCGGGGAGTAAAGAACGGGGTCAAATTTAAGCAACCATCGACTAAATAGAGACTGCTATGTGCAGAAGACCTAATGGTAACCACATATCAAAACCCAGTAACAGATATGAAGAAAAAAAAAAAAAAACCACAGAGAAAAGAATTTAAGTATGGCACTAAAAAAATTTATGGCAAAAGAAGAGAGCAAGGAAGAGAGAAAAACCAGAAAAATAACCCTAAAACAAATAACAAAATGGCAGTAAGTACATACGTATCAATAACTACTTTGAATGTAAATGGACTAACTGCTCCAATCAAAACACACAGGGTGACTGATAAAAAAAAACAAACAAAACACAAAACCTATCCATATGCTGCCTACAAGAGACTCACCTCAGACTTAAAGACACCTGCAGATTGAAAAGGAAGGGATGGAAAACATTTCTCATGTAAATAGAGGTGAAAAGAAAGCTGGTTAAGCAATATTTACATTGGATGAAATAAACTTTAAAACAAAGACTGCAACAAGAGACAAAGGACACTATATAATCAAAAAGGGAACAATCCAACAGGAAGATACAACAATTACAAATACTTATGAACTCAACATAGAAGCACCCAAATATATAAAACAGTTAATAATATAAAGGAACTAATCAATAATAATAACAGGGGATTTTAACACCCCATTTACATCGTTGGACAGATCATCTAAACAGGAAATCAACAAAGAAACAATGGCTTTGAATGACACATGGACCAGATGGACTTAACAGATACATTCAGAACATTCCACCCTAAAACAGAATACACATTCTTTTCAAGTGCATGTAGAACATTCTCCAGAATAGATTACATGTTAGGCCACAAAACAAGTCTCCACAAATTCAAAAAGATCAAAGTCATACCATGCATCTTTTCTGACCACAACCCTATGAAACTAGAAATCAATTATAAGAAAAAATCTGGAAAGACCACAAATACCTGGAGATCAAATAACACGCTACTACACAATGAATGGGTCAACCAAGAAATCAAAGAGGAAATTAAAAAATACATGGAAACAAATGAAAATGAAAACACAACAGTCCAATATTTTTGGGATTCAGCAAATGTTTTTGAGGGAAGTTTACTTGGCAATACAGGCCTACCTCAAGAAGATAAACCTCAAGCAACCTAACCTTACACCTAAAAGGAGCTAGAAAAATAATAAGGAAAACCCCAAACCCGCAGAAGGAAGGAAATAATTAAGATGAGAGCACAAGTGATATAGAAATAAAAAAAAAAAAAATAGAACAGATGAAACCAGGAGCTGGTTCTTTGAAAAGATCAACAAAATTGATAAACCTCTAGCCAGGCTCATGGGGAAAAAAAAGTGGGGCGAGAGGACCCAAATAAACAAAAACACTAATGAAAGAGGAGAAATAACCACCAACACCACAGAAATACAAACATTTATAAAAGGATATCATGAAAAACTATATGCTAACAAACTGGACAACCTAGAAGAAATGGATACATTCCTAAAATCATATAAACTACCAAAACTGAATCAGGAAGAAAGAACATTTGAATAGACCCATAAGCAGGAACAAAATTCAATCAGTAATCAGAAAACTCCCAATAAACAAAAGTCCAATCGGCCTCACAGGTGAATTCTATGAAACATTTAAAGCAGAGTTAATACCTATTCTTCTCAAACTTTTCCCAAAAATAGAAGAGGAAGGAAAACTTCCAAATTCATTCTATGAAGCCAGCATTACCCTGATACCATAACCAGATAAAGACCCCCCACACACACACAAAGAGAACTACAGCCATCATCTCTGATGAACATAGATACAAAAATCCTCAACAAAATATTAACAATCTGAATCTAACAATATACTTAAAAAATCATTCACCACGATCAAGTGGGATTTATTTCCAGGATGCAAAGATGGTTCAATATGCACAAGTGAATCAACATGCTACACTGCATCAATAAGAGATAGAATAAAAACCTTATGATCATTTCAAAAAATGCATAAAAACCATCTCACAAAGTGTAACATCCATTCATGATAAAAACCCTCAACAAAGTAGGTTTCAAGGAAACACCTCAACATAATAAAAGCCATATATGAAAAACCCACAGCTAACATCATACTCAATGGGGAAAAACTGAGAGCTTTTCCCATTGGTCCGGGACACAACAGGAACGTCCACTCTTACCACTTTTATTCAACATAGTACTGGAAGTCCTGGCCACAGCACTCAGACAAGAAAAAGGAATAAAAGGCATCCAAGTTGATAAGGAAGAACTAAAACTTTCACTATCTGTAGATGACATTATATATTGAAAACCCTAAAGACTCCACCAAAAAAGTACTAGAACTGAATTAATTCAGTTAAGATTGCAGGATACAAATAAACATACAGAAATCCGTTGCATTTCTACAATAATGAAGTAGCTGAAAGAGAAATTAAGAAAACAATCCCATTCACAAATGCACCAAAAATAAAAAAAAATACCTAGGAATATACTTAATCAAAGAGATAAAAGACCTGTACTCTGAAAACTATAAAACACTGATGAAAGAAATCGAAGATGACACAAATGGAAAGATATTCTATGCTCATAGGTTGGAAGAACCAATATTGTTAAAACTACCCAAAGCAATCTACAGATTTAATGCAATCCCTAACAAAATACCCACAGCATTTTCCAAAGAACTACAACAAACAATCCTAAAATTTGTATTGAACCACAAAAGAACCCCAATAGCCAAAGCAATGTTAAGAACAAAACCACAATACCAAAATTTCAAGATATACTACACAAAGCTTTAGTAATCAAAATAGTATGGTACTGGTACAAAAAGACATATAAATCAATAGAACAAAATAGAAAACTCAGAAATGAACCCATGATCATATGGTCAATTAATCTTCAACATAGCAGGAAAGAATATACAATGGGAAAAAGACAGTATCTTCAATAAATGGTGTTGGGAAAACTGAACAGCAACATGCAAAAGAATGACAGTGGACCACTTTCTTAAACCATACACAAAAATAGGGCGCCTGAGTGGTTCAGTCGGTTAAGCGATTGCCTTCGGCTCAGGTCATGATCCTGGAGTCCCGGGATCAAGTCCCACATCGGGCTCCCTGCTGATCAGGGAGTCTGCTACTCCCTCTGAACCTCTTCCCTCTCATGCTATCTCTCATTCTCTCTCTCTCAAATAAATAAATAAAATCTTTAAAAAAAAAAACCATACGCAAAAATAAATTGGACTTAGGATTGAAATGTCAGGCCTGAAACATAAAAATCCTAGAAGAGAGCACAGGCAGAAATCCATCTGACACTGGCTGTAACAACTTCTTTCTAGAGAGGTCACCTGAGGCAACAGAAATAAAAGGAAAATTAAACTCCTGGGACTACACCAAAATAAAAAACTTCTGCACTGTAAAGTAAAAGAGTCAACAAAACTAAGACACCTCGGGCGCCTGGGTGGCTCAGTCAGTTAAGCATCTGCCTTCGGCTCAGGTCATGATCCCAGGGTCTTGGGATAGAGTCCCGCATTGGGCTCCCTGCTCTGTGAGGAGCCTGCTTCTCCCTCTCCTCCCCACTTGTGCTCTCTCTCTATCTCTGTCTCTCTCTCTCTCAAATAAATAAAATCGAAAAAAAAAATTAAAAAACAAAAAACAAAAACTAAGACACCTCAACATAATAAAAGCCATATATGAAAAACCCAGAGCTAACATCATACTCAATGGGGAAAAAGAATGGGAGAAGATATTTGTAAATGACATCTCTGATAAAGGGTTAATATCCAAAATACATAAAGAATTTCTACAACTGAACACCAAAGGACTCCAAGTAATCCAATTAAAAAACGGGCAGAAGACATGAACAGACAGATCTCCAAAGAAGACATGCAGATGGTAAAACAGGCACATGAAAAGATACTCAACATCACTGAGCATCAGGGAAATGCAAATCAAAACCACAATGAGATACCACCTCATACTGTCAGAAAGGCTAAAATCAACAACACAAGAAACAAGAGATGTTGGCGAGGATCTGGAGAAAGGGGAACCTTCTTACACCATCGGGAATGCACGCTGGTGCAGCCACTGTGTACACACACGTGTACAGACAGGGGTGACACAAGTACACATGTGTGTACACACCCCGGTGTTTACTGCAGCATTATCTACAATAGCTGAGATATGGAAGCAGCCCAAGTGTCCATCTACAGATGATTTGATAAAGAAGAGGTGGTACATATGTACAATGGAGTATTAGCCATAAAAAAGAATGAAATCTTGCCATTTGCTCTGACATGGCTGAAGCTAAAGAGTATAATGCTAAGGGAAATAAGTCAGTCAGAGAAAGACAAATACCATATGATTTCACTCATGTGGAATTTAGGAAAACAAATGAGCAAAGGGAAAAAAAAAAAAAGAGACAAGCTGAAAAAAACAATCTTAACTCTAGAGAACACACTGATGGTTACCAGAGGGAAGGTGGTGGGGACAACGGGGGAAATAGGTGATGGGGAATCTTGATGAGCCCTGAATAATATATGGAAGTACTGAATCAAGATATTTTACACCTGAAACTAATATAACACTGCTATGTTAACTCCAGAATTACAATAAAACTTAAAAATGGAAGGTATGTTGGGGCACCTGGTGGCTCAGTTGGTTCAGCATTTGACTTTGGCTCAGGTCATCATCTCGAGGTCCTGGGATCAAGCCCCACGTCAGGCACCCCGCTCAGTGGGGATTCCCCACCCTGCCAGTGTTCTCTAATAAGTGAATAAAATCTTTAAAAAAAAAAAAATAGAAGGTACACATATATAGCACCTAATAATAAAACTGTTCCCATATTGAAATGAAGTTTGTATAGAAATACATTCTGTTCCCTTTAAGATTTGAGTGAGAGTACACTCCCGGGGCGGGGGGGGGGAAGGCAGAGGGAGAGGGAATCCTCAAGGAGATTCCTCGCTGAGCACGGAGCCCAACGTGGGGCTTGATGCCAGGACCTTGGGACCACGACCTGAGTCAGAGGCAGACACTTAACTGACTGAGCCACCCAGGTGTCCTTCTGTTCACTTACTTTGACTACAAAGACAAAATAGAGGCTTTGGTCTTTTTTCTAAAAAACAAATTATGCAAAAGTGATTAAATGTAAATCTGCCAAAAGTTGCTCTTTATTTTAAATGTACTATAAAGGTGTTTCAAAAACGAAGTAAGTGGTATGTTAAAATATTTGATGGTCTTAGCTACAGGAAGATAGTAATCCATCTATCACTGACAAACTAAAGAACTTCACAAAATTCAATCTTGGGCTACAAATTTCAGATTACATGTTTTTAAGACAACACATTTATTCATCCAGGGGAAAAAGGGTACAATGATACAGCTGATTTTTTTTTCTTTTAATACACTGTTGTCTGAGCTAAGACTCACAGATACAGAAAACAGATTAGTGGTTGCCAAGGCAGGGGGTGGATGAAATGTGTAGAAGGGGTCCAAGCTTCCAGTTGTAAGATGAATAAGTCATGGGGACATAATGTACAGCATGCTGACTGTAGTTAACAACAGTGTATCTTATATTTAAAAGTTGCGAAGGGAACCGATCTTAACAGTTCTCATCATAAGAAAAAACCATTTCTAACTATGTGCAGTGATAGTTACCCGGATTTATTGTGGTGATCACTTCATGGTATACACATGACCCAAATCATTTTGTTGTACACCTAAGGCTAATACGATGCTATATGGCAATTATATCCCAATAAAATAAACACATCTGATTTTGGGAGCTAATATCTTAAAGATCCTTTAAACATGTCCGCTCAATGGTTTAGAGAGTGGCACTCCAATAACAAGTAGCATCCCTAGTGTCCAGGGAGAAACTGATCTCTAAATGCCTGTTTCCACTTGGTTGGAGGACTCCTTGGAGAAAGAAGTAGCTACAGATCTGGAGCAGAAGGAGCCTGGATTTGGGGGGCACAGAAACTAGTTACTGAAAACGAAGAAGACATAAGACGAGCTTAAAGGAATTCCCTTGGGATACAGCTGAAACAATTTGAGCATAAAAAAAATAAGTAAATAAATCAAGTTGCTAGCAAACCAAGCCAGCAGATGGCCTGTGTCTACAGGGAGAAAAACAGAGCTTTACAGACTATATGGGCCTCATTTGGCTCAAAAATATATTTTGGGTACCAGTGGAAAATCTGGATTTGGAATAAGTAGTAGGTGCTTTCACGCAAGTGTTTGTTAAACGTGAATATAGTATTATGTCCCAAAATATCTTTATGTTTCAGGGTCATAAATTTAAATATTAGAGGTAAACTATTATGATGACTGTAATCTCCTTTAAAATATGCTGACAAAGAATATTATGTAGTATGTGTATAAAGTTCATTATTCTCGGCTCTATATTTTTCTGTATGCTTGAAAGTTTTCATAACCAAAATTTAAATTCTTTTAGATTTAAAGTAATCTTGAAAATTTGATTTTCCATCAGTGTTTGATTTATAAATACACATAGTGGTGTTTTATTACTATTAGCATCTGAAACAAGCAATTGGTCACAAAGCAAGTATCCCAGGTTTAGTGAAGGGCAACCACCATTTCGGGAGCACTTTCCTGGCAGGGGCTGCAAGCTCTCTGGGTCCTGGGTCAGCCTCAGGAGGGGACAGTAGCCCGCACTCCCGTGTTAAACATCAGAAAGCTGAGGCGCAGGGAGGGAGAGTGAAAGCATACGGCTCCTCCTTCATGAGGTGGTGTCACCATCATGCTGGGCATGTAAATTCTTGCTGTAGACGTTCAGAATGAGCATCCACATAAGAAAGAGGCAATCCATTAAGCAAAGAATCCTCTAAATTTATACAGTTCTTTGCCAACAATTCTTTGCCAAATGTGAGAGAAGCCATGTCATTTAGTGTATGCAAATGAGTCTACTCTTAATCAACCCACCATTAATTAAACTATAAAAATGAAATTACCTAGCATTACTGGGGTGGTAATGGGTAGCATGGAACTGTTTAAGCTGCTCCCACGTGAGGTCTGGGATGCACAACGGATGGCCCCCGGAGATCACCGAGTACGTGTGGTCAGGCAGGAGTCGGTTCTGAAGGTGCTGCGAGAATATCCGCTCGTTGTCTGTCTTCAAATTTAAAAAATATATATATGTGTGTGAAAAATAACACCCAGTGTTATGTTACAATGCAGCAAATTAATCACATTCTGGGAGCAATTCAAACTGTCGCAGTGGTAAACAAGGAGGTCCATGCAGATCCTAACAAAGCAAGCAACTCATTCACAATCTCCACACAGGACCCAAAGATCAGGGGTCTTGCAAGAAAAGGAAAAACACTTTGCAGTGTGCATGGGCCACCGGCAAAGGCACAGCTGAGGGCCAAGGGAGGGACATGCGAACCAAGGAAAGATGCACAAGGGTCCCTGCCCATGAGCTGCAGGAAGGGGTCCCACTGGCTTCTGAAGAGCTGTGACTTGAGTTTCCAGAAGGTACTGGAAAGAAATGAGGCCCGAATCGAGTAGCCCCATTTGTCAGAGCAGGACTCCAACGTCAGGGGGGCTGGGAGGATGGGCCCAGCGGAGAGGTTCTCAAACTGCCCAGTCTCAAGATCCTTCATACTCCTAAGAATCAATGAGGCCCCCAAAGACCTTTTGATGATGTGGGTTTCTTGATTACACAAGAGTGTGTGTGTACACATAATTTTTCTGTGTTAGAAATTAAAGCTGAGACATTTTAAAAGGTTACTTATTCATTCATTATCTTAACCCATCAGTACATGTTATCAAATATTTTTTTGGAAACTTTGTCAGAACAAAACAGAAATATTACTGAGAAGAATAGCACTGTTTTGCACATTTTGCAAATCTCCTTAATGTCTGGCTTAACGAGAGACAGCTAGACTCTCCTATCTGCTTCTGTATCCTATAAACTATTACAAAACATGTAATGCAGGCTTGGGGAAACTCCAGAATGAGAAAAAAAGACAAGTTCTTAACACTGTCCTGCAGTTTTCATCTGACAGACCTCCTGCAGACCACAAACCAGGGGCCCCGCCCCACAGCTCGAGAGCTGCTCGCTGCCACAAGGGCCCTAGAAAATCGGGAGCGTGGCCCTCTACTGTCCTACGGCTGGTGCTCCCTGCACTGTCCCCTGGCTAGTTCAACAAGTCCCACATGAGAAGTGCATCAAATGATATAAGAGAATGTCCACTGTCTTCCAGACCCATTTACATCCCGATATTTTACACAGAAAGATCACTGGAAAAGTTTTAAAAAGGAAAAATAAAAACTCACAAATACTCCCTTCATTTCATTAAAGACGACTCCTTTAAAGGTCAAGGGTGTCTGGGGGTCCTTCGGATTCTCATGTTCTAGTCGCCATCCTTCCTGCCTAAATAACGGTAAGTAATTACATAATGATAATGACTCTTAATATTAGTATTAGAGTCTAAACCAATTAATCATTACGTACCAGAAATCTAGTTCCCGCAAGCATGGGAAAAAGGCTGCATCCAAATACACAGATAGGAGATTCTGGAAGTCCTTGGGATTTTGTGTGGAAAATGGGTACAGAGTATAGTCGCTAGCTAGGTATAAATGAAAAGATTTTAAAAATTCGACAGATTCCCACAGGAATGAGCCACTTCCAGCCCCACCTCCAGCCCCCTACGCTGAGTCCTTACTGTCCCGGGCAGGCCTGGCTGGGGGCGGGCGGAAGGGGCACAGCCAGCCATGACCTCACACGTCTGCACAGAGGCCTGACCCACAGGATGAGGACACAGCGCACCCGTTACCTCGAGGCCTGGGCACTTCTCTGCGCCCAGCAGAAGCCCACGTGCTGCTCGAGTTCCTAGAAATCAGCTCAAACACCACCACTGCCATATTCACATGTGCCACCGAACTCAAATTTTATAGCAACATCTCCAAAAGAATAGTATTTTGACCTTTTCCAGAAAAATGTCAGATATGCCTTTTCCCTAAAACTACAGTTTTTATAATGCGACCACAATGTGGCTTTCCTAAAGGATTCCACTTCCAGCAGCTTTGCAGCAGACCAGAGGATGGTGTGCGTGCTCTTGTCTACAGGCTGCCAGCCTCCCCCGCCGCCCCAAGGAGGGGACCCCGCACGGTTCTGCCGTGGACGCCTGCTCACCTGTGAAAGCGTTCATGAACGTGGACAGCGAGCGGTTGAGCATCTTGAAGAAGGGATCTCTGCATGGGTATTTGTGAGAGCCGCACAGGACGGTGTGCTCCAGCACGTGCGGGACGCCGGTGCTGTCCATGGGCGTGGTGCGGAACTGCACGCTGCGCAAGACAAGAGAAGCAAGCCCAAGGCTCAGGCGGAGGGCGCGGCTACGGCCATGACCGCACGTACGACCACGCGGATCACCCAACCGCTCGCCAACACGGTCTCCGACGATAACCTAGAAAATCACTAATTCAGACTCTGAGCTTTTACTCTAGGCAACTGACGACATAAACTCATTTCACCTTTTCCTTCGGTTTTCAGGATACGGTCAATAAAAATAAAACCTAAGTGAACGAGGATTTTAAACTATGTAACGTACGGCAGACGTTCTCGGTGGAACGTGCTCTCACTATGCCCCCACGCACCTGAACAAGTTGTTGGTGTCTTCTCTGGCCAAGTGCAAGTATTTTGCTCCTGTGCTGTCATGGCTGAGCTTCACTGCGGTCAGGGACAGTTCAGGGATGGCCGTTACCTGAATGAACAAGAAATATTGAACAGGTAAACTCAGATGGGAAGGCGATCGACACAGGTGTGGTTACACCGCAGACCTGGCCTGTGTCATCGGGCAACAGTTGGAAGCGGGCACGTCGGGACTGGAGGCTCATCAGAAACCACCTTGTTCAAACGCTGAATCTCACAAATGAGCCAAGTTAAGACCTATGTACTTGACCATCCTAGGTGCCTTTTCTTTTTGCATGCTTACCATCCGCTAGACTTTTCGGAATAGTTCCCGGGGAGCCCTGTGAGGAAGGGATCCTCACCCCCACCTGCAGATGGAAACGCTGAGGCTCAGAGGAATGGTCAGACAGGGACGCAGACCCCATCTCTCACACCAGGCCACACTGAAGGAGTCCTGCTCTCGCCTGCGATGCCTGCAGCTGGCTTCCTTTTATACACATCATGGCAGGAATGCTCAGAATGGCCCCGCTGGGAGGTAAATGCTGGAATGGGCCATAGCCTGGGACTAAACTGTGCCTCATCTGGTTTATGCAGTTCTGAGGAATTCCCAGGGGTGCGCTGGGGTATCACCAGTTACCTGCTCCTAGTGGGAGGGTCCAAATCACCTCCGATAAAAACACATCCTGACCCCGAGGATGGTAGTCTCCTAGCCATGTAAGCCTCCCAAAAGTTTCCGTGGTTGTTGGCACCTTAAAAAGTGCTATATTGTCCAACCATGCCAGGGGCCTCTCCACTTCAATCACAATAGCACATCACTATGACAGCCACACCATTTATCACCCCCACTTTTCAGAGGCTGTGAAGGTAAACTGTCTGTGCTTACACAGCAAGCTACCAGCAGGGCAGAGATTAGAACTCAGGTGCCCTGAACGTGCTGTGGGGGCCTTCCACGCAAACGACATTACTTAAAGAGGGCTGTGATGCCGGCTTAGTTTACAAGTATTAAATTATCTGTATCTAAAAATTTACTTTGTAAGAGATGATCAACGTATTTAAAATCAGTTCAAACAGTGAACTGTCTGCCTCCGAACCTCTTTCACGGGAACTACTCCTCAAACAAGGGTGTTTTATCAGAAGTTTGTGTAACACTTAAAAAATACAGAAACAGAACTCTGAGGTCCTCCTTAACAGTCACTATTCTACATCCAAGCTCCTCTGCATGGCCTTTAGGGACCTCACACATGCTCTCACCCAGTGCCATGAGCCCCTCCCTCAAGCTAACCGGCCCCCCGGAACCCTGCCTGGAACTACCACCACGGGCACATCCAGCCCTCCGTCTTCCACTTACATTCCCCCCCATTCTCCGTGAACCTGTCCCCATGCCCCCCTAGCAGAGCACCCTCTCCTCCCGTCTTCCTCTTGGTCTCATCACGTTCCCCCTCATACTGCAGCCACACCTGTATCCTTCTGGACTGTGAGCTGCCTGCCTTTTGAGTCTGGAACAAGTGTTACCCACAGCATGAAGCCAGCAGCCAGTCAGTGATGTGAAATGTGTATTTTTCGATTACTGCATTAAAAGAAAAAAACACTGAACGTACAGGCCCACAATCTCTTTACTCAGATGGCTCAAAAACCATTTTGTGTGTGGAGCAAACTCACGTGCTAGGAAAATGTGACCCGCACAGATGTGCGGCAGTCTGAGCAAAGTGAAGCTGCGTGTGTGGATGCACAAACACCAGTGTGTGTGTGGATGCACAAACACCAGTGTGTGTGTGACTTAAAATCTAGAGACATTAGGCTTCATGGGGCTGGGTTCAGGGAAGGGACTGGGGATCCCTTATTTAAGAATCAGGAAATCCTTTCACCTGCAAACTCCGCTCAGTAGAGCCCACGGTGAAACATGGACGAACCAGGGGCAGGGACAGAGACGCCAGCTCCCCTGGGGTCTGGGCTGTGCAACAAGCTGGGCCATGCACACCTGGCTTACGGTGAACCCGTGGATCCGCTCTCCCACCTCGTGCTGCCGAGCTCTCTCACAAGCGCTGGTGCCCGTCCTCCTCCATGCTCGGGGGCTGGCACTGATCCACGGGAGGAAAGGAACCAAGGTTAGCTGCTTCTGCAGGACAACTGTGCGGCTACCGTAATTTAGCAACATCACGAAAACATTTTCTCGTCATCAAGACATTTCAAATAAAAATTAAACCTAACATCTTACAAACAGATTCCAGAAAATTGATTTCTGGAATCTTTAGTTCTTTCAATTTTATTATCTTTATCTCTACTTGGCTAAAGCTTCATATCAACTAATAATTACATGTTCCAAGCCTTTTATATGTAAATGCTCATGAATAACTATAATTATGTAACCAATTTTCCTTACCCGTATAAAAAACAACTCTCATGTTAAAGTGACTTTTTCCATCTCAGTACACAGTATGGCAATAACTCCCATTACGCATCTACCAAACTGGTAAAAAGTAAGAAATCTATCATTGTCAGGACTGCCTAAACTGCCACTAGGTGTGCAAATAGTAACAATTCTCGAAAAACATTCAGCATCATTTAAATTAGCAACTATTCACCTCCGTATGTGTGTCCTGGAGAACATGTACTCATCATGTACTGGCACACACCCTTTATGTTGGCACCATTCCTAAGAGTTCCAAACTCTACCAACCAGGACATCCATCATCAGAATGGATAAATTGGGGACTATTTCCATATATGAAATAAGCTTAGCCATGAATATGGATGGACTACAACCACACTAACAAAAATGTGGGTCACATAATGCTAAACCAAAAAAAAAAAAAAAAATACAAAGGCTAGACACAGTATCATCCTACTGTGTTGTAGGAATACATATAGATGGTAAAAATATAAAGAAAAACCAGCAATACGGATGGAGCTAGACAGTATTACGCTAAGTGAAATGAGTCAGAGAAAGAAAAAGACCATATGATGTCACTCATATGTGTAATAAGAAACAAACGAGCAAAGGGGGAAAAAAAGAGAGGCGAATCAAGAAACAGACTCTTAACTAGGGAGAACAAACTGATGTTACCAGAGAGGAGGTGGGTGGGGAGATGGGGGAAAAGAAACGGTTGATCCACTGACTCCTGCAGCTGCTGTATCTCTGGAGCTTACTCTTACATATATACATAGATCTATAAAGCAAGGAAATAAACCAGGAGAGAGATCACATCTAAGAGGGAGGGAGGGTCAGTCATTTAGGGGTAACCTTAATCTGGGTAACAGTGACACTATTTTTAAATATTTTCCCTCTCGACTGTATTATATGCTTTAAAGAATTTTCTACATTATTATATCTCACAAAAAAATATTTCTTTTGAAGATACAGAAAAAAACACTGATTCAGTCGTTATCAGGTAACATCATGAAGATGTGCCATCAGCCAACACTTTCCTTACTGACTTTGCTAATTCTAGAATTATGGAATAGAGGATTTTAAGATGTTTTTTTACCATCTAGAGCACAATCCCAAAAAACAAATGCTCGCGCTGAAAATGCAAAAAAAGTCTGAGGCAACATGGGCTTTCCCCCATATACTTCCTGGTACCCAACCACACACATGAATACTGCCCCTGCTGCCGAATTCAGACACACCACCAGGGAACCCAAAAACTAACACCCCGGGCTTCTTCATATGGGCTAACAGCTACACTGCCCCATAAACTAAACAAGGTTCTGTGAATTAGCATGAAACAAAACTTATCTACCAACTCATACAGCGTGATCATTCAAGGCTGGACTGTATCTTTTTTTCATAAATCTAGTCATTTAAAAAAACTTCCATTTCTTGAAGCTCCAATTTTATTAAGAACACTGCAGTTTAAAAGCACGTCGTGTGGAAGCCTCAGGTGTCTTGAGGGCTCCCTGCTCACAAGTAGAAGACACGGGAGCAATCATGTTAATGAGAACCACAAGCTGGCGATTACCTTAATTACACGGATTAAAATCCACATCAGTGACCATTTTCACTTCAAAAGCCCTGACAATCCGCACACAAGGCCACCCACTCTGGGACGCCGTGAGGTCCCAGGGGCACGGGGGCTCCTTGGGCCTCGACCCGCTTTACCGCAGGCTTTCCCGGCGCGGCTCGCGACCCTGACAACTGGCCCGGAACTCCTCTCCTTTGGCGATGGGAGGGGGACCCACAGCACCGTCCCTCAGCCAGGCTCCGCAAGGCTCCCCGGGCGAGGGGCGTCGGGGTCCGGGAGCCCCAGAACAGGGAGCTGTGGTGCGGCACCGCCGGGCCGGGACAAGACCCTGGAGCCCCCCCCGGGTTCTCCCCCACGCCGGGACCGCCCCTGCCGCCTTTCGCTCTCGCCTCCTTCCTGTCCGACTTCTCTCGCTCCTGCCCGCGTCTCACCCGCCGCTCGGCCGCCTCAGGAAGCAAGGTACCCTTTCGCCGCAGCGCCACATGGCCAGTGACCCGCACCGGGTCCCTGTCGCAGCTTTACTTACCCAGACGCACGGCGCGGGGGCGTGACGCATCGGCCGCGGCTCTCATTGGTCAGAGTGCACGGTGACGCTCTCTCCAATAGGCTGGCGAGGAAAAGGGTGGGCTCCTGACGCGGCGGGGCAGGACTCGAGGGCCGCGGGGCGCGGGGTGGGCGGGGCGATAGGCCGAGGGTGTCGCGGGCCTTGGAGCCTAGGAGCATGGCGGGGGCGGGGCTTGCGTGCGGAGCCCGGGGCAGGAACGGAGAGGGGCGGAGCCCGGCGGGGGCGCAGGGGAGGGCCGAGTCCGGGGCGTGCATGGGGAGGGGCGTGAGCGATAGGGGGCGGGCCTGCGCAAGGGAGGGGCGGGGACTGTGAAGGCGAGGAGCGGAGACTGTGCGGGCGAGGGGCGGGGACTGTGAAGGCAAGGGGCGGGGACTGTTGGAGCGAGGGGCGGCCCTGCGCAGGCGAGGGGCGGGGACTGCGCAAGCGAGGGGCTGACCTTCGCAGGGAGAGGCGGGGACTGCGAGGGGAGGGCGGGACTATGAAGACAAGGGGCGGGCCGGTGCAGGTGAGGTGGGTTGCACAGGTGTGGGGCGGACTCAGGCTGGCCAGGTGACCTACCTGTTTCTCAGGGCTTTGTGGGGTCATTGGTCTCCTGAAGGAGGCCGTGAGCCTGTGCCTGTGCGTGCTCACAGCTCTGTCTGCAGATCTCCGGTAGTTAAGTGAGAGTAAAGGACGTCCAGCTGGGGGCCCGCCAGGGGCCTCAGCCCCTGGCTACGGGGCTTTGGGAAATGGTCCGAGGACTGCACCAGATGGTTTCCAGGGTCAGGATGCCATGATGTCACCCTCCTTATGGATAGTCCCGCTATCAGAATGTCCCCAGGGAACCTCAGGACAGCTCAAAGCGCCTGCAAGGGTGTTTTGACTCACCGCTTTCCCTACCTGCATCTCATGTCTGGGAAGACTCCGCACTTCTAAGTTGTCCAAAGTACCCACGCGCCCTTCTTGAAACGCACAGAGAGGCTCCAGGAGGGCAAATCATGAGGGTGGGTCGCACTGCGCCTGTGGGGTGGAAGAGCATCTGGGATTAACCACACCTGGGCACTGCAGCTTTGGGGGGGAAGTCCAGCCCTATGTCTGTCTGCAGATTCTCAGAGCCATGGCCTCCTCTCTTTTTCTCCGTCATTCCTTCCCCCTGGCACTCTTGTGCAGATGGACTCAAATCTCCCTGCCCCTGCTTCTGGACTCTAAAGAAAGGCTTCTAAGTAGACGGGTGCCATCTGTCAAAATATAAATGCTGTGGCAGCGATGGAGAGGGTAATATTGCATTGAAAAGTCTCCAAAAAACTCTCCACGGTGCCATAGATTCTGCAGGTAATCGAGTACCTCTTTATCCAGAGGAGAAAGCAGCTGAACCAGAACAAACAGAGGTGATGATAAGAAGCCACTAATACAAACACGCTCCGTGCATAAACCTTTCTTCCTTGGGGAATCTGTGATAAATGCTGCTGAGTCACCACAGCATCTCTGTGATCCTGAAGAGACAGTTGGGTATTATTAACCCTACTGAGAATATTTAGGGAAATGAGCACCGGAAGTCAGAGTATTTTGATCTCTATAAAGGATAGATGCTATATAAATCCAGTAATTGTCACTTACTCATATGTTCCCACAGCATACAACCTCACTGATGGCTACCTACACACATACACACAAACACAAACACACACACTAAAAATTTATAAATAACTATTTTGAACAGCACCCAATATAAATTTAACACTCATATGTAATCTCAAAGTATATTTAAAAATCATTGCAATGTAGAAGTTAAAAATTAAAAATTGTCTATGAAATATCCCATGTTTCAAAAACACATCCAATGTCATAATGAAACACTGTTTTAGTAAGATGAGCATCGATCAGAATAGGTGCTGTCTGGGATGTAGAAAAGCAACCGACTGAATATTTGAGGGTTATGGATTGGATTACATCTCCCCAGAAAGATATATTGTGACCTCATTTGAAAGTAGGGTCTTTATAAAGGAAATGAAATTAGAATGAAGTCATTAGGATATGAGCAGTGTCCTTATAGAAAGGGGATATTTGGGCCCTCTGGCACATACAGGAGGCCATGTGACGATGAAGGCAAAGATCAGGGTGATACTTCTATACACCAAAGAGCACCGAGGATTGCTGGTACACCAGAAGCATGGAGCAGATTCCCCGTCACAGCCTCAGAACGAACCATCTGCCCACACCTTGATCTTGGACTTCTGGCCTCCAGAACTATGAGACAATGAATTTCTGTTGTTCTAAACCACAAATTCCCCACAGATTCTGTTGTGGTACTTCTTGATGGCCAGCCAGCCAATGAATACAGAAAAGTCAAGCTTCTTTTACCTCTCAAAGAAAAATACAAAGTGCGTTGTTTCCCAGGATTGCACGTCGTTGGCATAATGCATACTTTCTGGAAATCCTTTATTCCTGAGTCTATCATAAACCACAAGTGATGACTGTTGGAAATGCAAGGTGAGGGATTAGCTCAGTGCCTCCAACGTTGAAGTTATAAAATTATAGAAATGTATAAAAGATCAACAAACACTGCTAATAACATGGAATAAGGAGAAATCCCCATCCTGAAGCCTAGACTCCAGTGCTAGTGCTCCTTCATTGTTTTTCATTCAACAA